GGGGGGGCACAGGGTCCCTGGCCCAGACTTCTCATGGTTCGCCAACCCGTTTGCCCTCCAGCCGCGGGGGAAGGTGGCTGCTTAGCTCATCTCTGCTGTGCTTGAACAGAGCTTGCTTCTGCCCGTTGCGCTGCGGCGAGCGTGCACTGCATGCCTGATTTCCAGCTTCTTCCCCTTAGCAGTGCCCATCAGGCCAGCCGGGGAGCCCCCGGAGTGGCACCGCTATGGCAGCACACATCCCCTGCTGCCCCCCCACCCCCTTTGTTCTTGCTGGACATCGGGGGGCAGCATCTCAGAGAACAGTTACAAGGAAAGTAACCGTTGTTTCTTCGAGTACTTGCTTATGGCCATTCCACGCCCAAACCGCACCCCGAGGCAGGGTGGGAATGCTCAGTGCCCTACCAGCAGCCCCACCCTGCCTAGCCTAGTGCAGAATTATGTAATGGTTGGTGACTATGGCCACCTTACAAATGTTTGATTGACACCTGTGCCAGGAACGCCCTGGAGGGGGCTAGGGCTCTGGGGGAGTGGGCTGAGAGGCAGGACTGATTTCCCCTTTGGGTCATAGCACGCCTTGCTACGTGCCGTGATCCAAGAGGACAGACATTGAGCTGACAGCAGGAGGCCCTTCCTTCTGTGTGCTATGGAGACAGCTGAGTGGATCTACAACCTTGTCTCGCCCTCACTAAGTAAAAGGCAAGCGCCCTTCTAACATCGAGGGTGTGGAGTGCTCGCTCGCTCGCTCTCATCTGCATGCAGCTTCGAATAGAAAACCCGCAGAAAAATCGTCCGAGCCATGCAATAGGGCCAGTTCCTTAGGCAGAAAGGCAGCGTGTGGACACAGTCACCTCGTCCAGAGAGAAGACCGTATGTCGCGGCTCTGAAGAGGGTTTGCTACTCAGACCCCCTCCTAGCTGAGGTGATAGTCACTAGAAAGGCCACCGTCCAGGGCTGGTGGGAGAGGCTCAACTGGGGCTTGCATGAGGCGCTGGATCATAGGCTGCATTCCTGGGGGTAGAGTCTATCCCAGCCCCTTCAGAAAACACTTGACAATGGTGTGGCCTAGGTGCGCACACAGCAGGTGAAGATGGAGCTCCCCCCCCCTTCCCCCAGTGAAAGGCCGCGATGGCCGCTGCGTGTACCCTTACGGATGAGGTGGATAAGCCCTGTTGCTGGAGGCTGAGGTCATCTAAAATCAGAGGGATGGGGGCTCTCACTCCCCCCCCTTTACAACCCAAGCTGAAAACATCGTCCATTTGGTCCAAAAGGTCACCCTAGTAGAGGGCTTCCAACTTTCCACCAGCAGCCACCTCGCTAGGTCTGAGCAGAGGCGCTCTCCTCCACAAAGCCATAGCCCCTTGAGGCCGAGGGACAGGGACTGTAGGGTCGAGTGGCCCAGAGGGCCCCGGTTGAGCTCCTGGGACAAGCACAGGGGCAATGAGGCCCTCCACCGACAGGGACACAGTGTGGTGCACCAAAGCCGGCAGGGCCACGTGGAGGCGGAGAATCAATGCTGCTTTGTACCTCTTGGCCCTCAGGAGCATCCCGTGAACCGGGGGGGAGGGAGGGAAAACATGGAGGGGGCCTGCAGGCCACTGCATTGCTGGGACATCCCGCACCAACCCGAGGCCCTGTCCTCGGTATGAGCAAAACCTAGGACTGAGATGCACAAAGCTCTAGGAGGGGAGTTCCCCACCTGCAGAAGGGGAGCCAAGCCCCTCTTCCTTGAGGCCAGTTGTGCGCAGAGAATGCTCTGCCGAGGTGATGCGTCAGGGTGGTGCAGGCCCCGTGAGGTAGGTTGCCGCCGCCTCCTGCCAGAGGGGAGAGGAACGAGCACCACCCGGTCTGTTGCCATAACACGTCGCTGGCGTGGTGTCTGTCAGAACGGAAACACACTCGCCTCTAAACGAGGAACAAACACCCGGCCAGCCGAACCACCCTCAACTCCGACAGTGATGTGCATCCCATCTCTGCCTGGACCACAGACCTTGCATCCGTAGCTCCAGGTGGGCTCCCTGACCGGCGTCTGAGGCACCCGTCACCAGCTGTACTGAGAGAGGGGCCTGGGCAAACGGGACCCCACCAGACAGCTGGTTCTCCCTCAGCCACTCGTCCAACGTTAACAGGACCTCCAGGGGGATGGTCACCACAGCCTCACCGTGGTCGCCAACCAGGCCTAGAGGAGTCAGAGGCGCAGTCTGGCCGACTGCCCCACGTCAGTGCACGCTGCCATGTGACTCAGCCGTCTCAAGCTTCACCTCACCGTGGCTATCGGGGCGGCCCGAAGGCGCAGAATAATTTCCCTCATGGTCTTGAATCTGGGGCTGGAAAGGGACACCAGCCTCATTGTGGCCTCCCATCTTGCGCCCACAAATTCTATCAGCTGAGTGGGGGGAGGGTCAACTCTGCTGGGAGGTTTGCTTGGCCAACACGCTATGGGACTGCAGATGGTCCCTGGAACAACTTC